CAGTGCGGCGCCTCATGCAGGGCCACCGCCCGCAGTGGGACACGCGGCCGCGGCACGAGCTCAGCGATCCGCGCTACCACGACATCATTCACGTGCAGCCTGTGGGGCGTGCCTTCCTCATCTGGACCGTTGACATCTCCTCGGAGTCTTATCAGCAAGTGAGGACTTCTCATCCAGGCCTCATGGGTTCGTGTGGGGTGGAACAGGGGTTTGGTCTGGCTTCAGTGCAAGAGTTATGGAGCCTGGGATATGCTGGTTTAACCTGTCTGTTGTCGCGTGTGGTGATCTTTCCTCATAAGAAGATGTGTTCCCTTTGTAGCGATTTCCGCGTATGGTGTTTCTTCCTTCTCTTTCATAGAAACGGTGTGCTCGGTCAGTCAGTTTCTTGATACTGCTTCTGGAGCTTTGATAGAAACGGGCTTTGCGACTCACTTAGGCTTAGATGCCTTTGCATATATGCTTGTGGCTGGCGGAGCTTGTCTGTTGTGTGGTCCAGCACTACCAGTTTCTCATTGCTCATCTCCCAGCTTCACTTCCTCCTGTCTCGTTTCTCCATCCATCCCCTCCACTTCCTGCCCCCTGTCCTCCTCGCTCACAGATGATCAAGGTGTGGGACGTGGTTCCAGAGCGTGGGGTGCTGCCATGGCTTCACCGCCTGGCGAAAGGCCTGGCCTCGTTCTCAGACCAGCGCCTTGACTGCTGCGCCGCAAGCTCACCCGGCTCCGCTCGTAGAGTGCATCCTCGCCAGTTCAACCGCCATGCTCCCTTCGAGTGGTGGAGGGAGGGGCAGCGGGGCACCAACGTGCCAGGTGCTTGTGCTGCAGCATGATCAATTTTGAGTCACTTGCAAAAGAGAACCTCATTTGGTGCTTTTTGTTTCTGGAAAAGCTGGTGTGAATGATGGGAGGGAGGCTGAATGATGGGAAGGAGGCTGAATGGTGGGAGGGAAGTAACATGTGTCAGTGCAAGAATGCTCCACCGACAACCCTCAACCATTGCTTTCCTTATGTTTTTACCTGTCGTTTCCTTGCCTCAAACCTTCTGCACTCCATCCTTTCCCTCTCTTTCCCCCTCCCTGTTTCTCAGCCTCTCACCCAGCATCAGCTGTCACACTGGAGCGAGCGCCAGTGGATGAAAACGTGCTGCTGATGAAATTCTATTCACTTTCGCTAGGCTCCGCCCAGCACCTGCTGGCAGCAGTTCCGGGAGAGTGGCTGTTCAAGCTGAACGAGCAGCAAGCGGCGATAGTCCACTCCAACTGCACTGCTTTTGTGCTCGGTCGATCAGGTGGGCATGGTTATGCTTGTCACTTAACAGGCGTGGGAATGCACAGTTGCGAACCGTTGTGCTTGGTCAGTCAGTAATTTGCAGCAACTTCCTGCCCTTCCTATGCCTCACAAACCTTTACGACATCTTTCACTCGTGAACCGAACCTCCTCCACACCCCTCCACTTCTGTTATTAGCCCCTCAGCTTGAGTCAGCTCAAGAGACTTCCGTCCAAAAAGGCATGCTCCTCCTCTGCGTCTGTCATCCCCTCTTTCCTGTGGCTGGCCCAGGCACGGGCAAGACGACAGTGATCACCCACCGCCTACTGCTGTTGGAGCACACGTTCCGTCGCGCCATGGGCGAGAGGCGCCTTCTGACCTTTGAGAATTCTCAAAGTGTGCGCGCTGGACGCAGTGGCGCCTCGCATGGCAGAGAGCAGGGCGCCTGGGGGACATATGAGGAGCTTGAGGAAAGTGAGGAAGAGGAGGGTGAAGGGAAGAGTGGGGAGGATGGAGAGGAGGAGAGGGATGGACTGCGGCAGGTGGTTGTGACTCCGAGTGCGCGCCTGTGTGCTGCCATCAAACGCTATGTGAACAAGGCGACGAGGTGAGTGGGGCCTGGCCACGAGGTGAGTAGCGGGGCGTGGCCACACATGTGCTGTGCTGTGTCGTGAAACTGTTCCAATTTCCATAGTCATTTGATTCGATCCATTGTTTCCCTCCTCCCTTCACATCTTCTCTTCTGTTCCTTATTTCCTTCCGTTTGTCTCCCTCCCTCCGTGCTCTCGTTTTCTCGTTTCTGGCAGGTCTATGCTGCAGGCAGAGGAGCATGGCTGTCCATGCATGCCGCCAGTGGAGTGTCAGTCAGATGGACGCGCGAAGAGAGGTGAAGGGAAAGCACAGCTGGCACAGGTAGGGGAGGAGGGGCAGGATGAGCTGCTGTTGTTGGAGGAAGCAGAGGAGAAGCTTCTCGGTGACCTACCAGAGGCTCTGGATTCATTGCAGCCTGCTGCCTTCCCCCTCGTGCTCACCTTTAAGAAGCTTCTCAGCATGGTGAATGCCACACTGTCGCACCCGTTCCAGACGGGAGGGAGCAGCACGGGCAGTGGATGGGGCCGAGGCGGGTCCATGGGAGGTCGCTGGAGTGGTGGCGGCTTGCCTGGTGGCATGAATGCAGTGTGGGGAGAGGAGAATGATGAGGACGACTTTAGTGAGGATGATGATGAGGAAGAGGATGAGGGGGGGCTGGTTAGAGCACACTGGTGGCGAGGGGGCAGGCTGCAATGCATCGGCGGCAGCACCGGAACCAGCACCACTGAAATAGGCACCAGTAGCAACATTCTTAGCAGAACTCGTGGCAGCGTCAAAAGCAGCAGCGGCACTGCTGCTGCATGGGTTCCAGAGGAGGTTGACTACGAGCGGTTTGAGGCAGTCTAACGCAGCCACCACTCGTCATCTCGACGCGTCCGCGGTGTTCAAGGAGATCTTCTCCCACATCAAGGGCTCCCTGCACGCGCTCAGGACACCGCACGGCCGTGTGTCTCTGCAGGACTATGTGCTGTTGGCGCGCACACGCACGTCGAGCTTGAACGAGGAGCAGCGCACAGCCGCGTATGCGCTCTTCCTGCAGTACGAGAGGCTGAAGCGGCAGAGCGGAGACCACGACATGTGCGACTACGTGTTCCATGTGTATAAGCAGCTGGAGAAAGGGGCTACACGGCTCTGGACCCCCGCTGCGGCTGCTGTGGCTGCTGCAGCCGGCACTGCCTGTGGTAGCACCAGCACTCCTCCGTATGGCAGAAAGCCTGGCGTTTCTCCAGCTGCGATCGGGGCGAGCAGGGTGGTCGGTGCTGGTGGGAAAGTCCTCGCAGGGCCACCATTCCAGTACGTGTATGTGGACGAGGTGCAGGACATGACCCAGGCACAGATTGCCGTCCTGCAGTTCCTCTGTTCCAATGTCGCCAGCGGTTTCTTCTTTGCTGGTGACACCGCCCAGACCATCGCTCGTGGGGTGGACTTTCGCTTTCAGGACGTCCGACGGCTCTTCTACGAGCTGTTTCTGGGGAAAGGGGTGGCTTCTGCTGCTGGCGGGGTGGAGAGGAGCGAGGAAGTGGATGGAGGGCGAGCGGGGGTTGGTGGTGGGGTAAGTGGAAGGGGGATCATGGAGAGCGGCAGGATCGGTGAGGATAAGGAAGGAGGGTGTGAAGGTGGGACTGGAGGTGTGCGGGAGAAGCAAGGGAGGTGGGCGAGGGCAATAGAATCACGAGGGAGACAGAGGCAGTCGGCCAGGGGAAAAAGGATTCAGGAAGAGGTTCGAGGGGAGGGAAGTGCAGGGAAGGAAGCCGGTGTTAGGAAGCCCTGTGCAGGCCTTTCAAAGGGTGCAGAAGGCTCAAAGCAAACCACATCAGAAGCAGTCATCGACAAGGTTGCAGGCACCAGGAATGGGAGACAGGAAGTTTGCGTTGGCCCACCAGCAGAGGATCGTTCCTCATGCACTGAGATGCCGGACCTGCAGTTTCTCTCGCAGAACTTCCGGTCGCACAGCGGCATCGTGCGAGTGGCAGACAGCGTGGTGCGCGTGCTGCTGCACTTCTTCCCCCACTCCGTCGACCGCCTGCAGCCCGAGTTCAGCCAGCAGCAGGGCGAGCCGCCCGTGTTCCTCCAGTCCGGCGGCAGCCGTGACCGCGCGGCACAGCTGTTTGGGAAGCGCGGGGGCATTGGAGGAGGTGGATGTGAATTTGGCGCCGAGCAGGTATGAATGTATGGGAGGGTGCAGCTGCTTCTCAATGCTGAACTAGGCACTGAGTAGGGGAGGATGGGTAATGATGCCGAGAGAAGGGAGAGGAAAGGGAAGAGAAGAGAGAAGGCGGAGACAAGGTATGAATGGCGTTTGAAAGAAACAACGGCGGGGGGGAGTTAGGGTTCAAATGGGGACTAAGGAAGCAAAGGAGGACAATCATGAAAAGCGAGTCACGTGCCAGCTTGAAACGTGCCAGCAAATCAATATATTTTCTATCGTGTAACCCTCTTATGGCGCCCGGTCAGGTCATTATAGTGCGAGACGCAGCGCGGCGAACGGAACTGGTGGAGCGCACTGGCTTGCGGGGGCTCGTGCTCATCACAAAAAAGCTGCGTTCAGAAAGCCGATGGAAAAAGTTACTCTGGAGCTTTGTCGAATGATATTCCAACTTAGTGTTTCGAACGTTTTTATGAGAAAGTATAGGATGCTTTCCAAATGCTATGTCGAACGCTTTTCAAATGCTTTTGCGATGCTTCGGCGCTCAAACCAACCAGTTGAAAACATTCGGAAAAATTTTGGATCGAGTTTCCGCAGAGCAATTTCGGAGATCGGAACTCATTGCAATGTACTCCTTATGGACTGTGGGTTTCATTATGATAAGCTTAGATTGGAGACTTGCAAGACTTGGTATGTTCTTGTAAAATATGTTTAATTGTCATATCTTTGCATTCAAAACAAACATTACAGAAGGCTAGTTAAAGGCTTATTATTCCCACCTAGAAATGCACATAAACAGTGTCTGCATCATCCTACTGCTACTAGCGTCTCATGCTCCCGTGCACTAAGCCTGCCACTCCACCCCATCTATTGTGCTCTAGGCCGAGCGTGCCTCTGCGTCCACTGCTTCCTATAATGTTCTGCCCTCTCATGCGTCTGTTGCTCCGCCCCTGGCGCTCTCCACTCATGCCTCAAGCCCCCAAGTCTTGTCGCTCCATCACTTTGCCCCCTTGCCTCCCCGTCTCCCGCCACTCTTGTGTCTTTTGCCCATCTTCCGTTCCTGCCCCCCCCGCCTCTCATCATCCTCTTCCTCCTCTACCTCCTCTTCCTCCTCCCTCCAGCTTCCCTTGCCTCTGTCTCTTTTGTGCTTTCTGCCCTTCCTCCGCTCCTGGCCCCCCTGTTTCTCATCCTCCCGCTCCCCCACCGCCTTCTCCTCTTCCTCTTCCCTCCTACCCCGCCTGATTTTCCCTCTTTTCTGCCTTCTGCCCCTCCTAAGCTCTTGCGCCCCCCGTTTCTCATCGTCCTCCTCCTCCTCCTCCGCCTCCTCTTTCACAGCCCTCTTGCCTCCCCTGCTTTTGCAGGTCTTGTGCCTTTTGACCTTCCTCCGCTCATGCCCCCATCGTTTCCATTTCTCCTCCTCCTCCTCCTCCTCCTCCTCATCCTCCTCATCCTCCTCCTCCTCCTCCTCCTCCTCCTCCTCCTCCTCCTCCTCCTCCTCCTCCTCCTCCTCCTCCCCCTCCTCCTCCCCCTCCTCCTCCTCCACATCCTCATCCTTCTCCATGTCCTCCTCATCGTACACCTCCTGCTCTTCCTCCTTCAAGTCCTTCTTCTCCTCATCCGGCTCGGCGGTCCTCCGGAAGGCCTCAAATCCGGACTCGTGAACATACAGCCCACGGTCGCCCCACTTGAAACCCTGCACGGCTGTGTTGTAAACGGGGGTGTGGCGACTAAAGTGGTCCTTGATAATCCACCTCACATGTCGATGCAAACACGACATCCATTCAGTGTTCTTCCGGTGGGAGTTCGAGACGTGCCAGTCAGTCTTATGAACCTTTGACAAGCCCTGGTCAATCTGAAAAAGGGTAGCAAAGTATGGAAAGGATGGGAAACAGAGATTTCAGTGGACACGCGCGTGCAGAGTTTACGGGCTGCGCAACTAGCCCCACGTACCATGCCGACGGGCTAGAATAGCATGCAAAGCTTCAGCATATTGACCGTTGAGCAATAACCTCTTACCACCATGATCGACCAGGCAATGTGGTAGGCTTTGACGCACACCCGGCGCCCGAAACAGAGATTCCGAAATGCCTCCCGGACCGCATCTACAAACCGGCCGTTGGCAAACGGGAGCCCGTCTCTGTTGTTCCCCCACGGGTAGACTGGGAGATGAACAAGCACGTAATGGCGTGCCAAAGTGGGGATGCATAAGGGGTATGAACTATATCATCCTACTGGGGCATGCACGAAGGGTGCACGAGCAGACAGCCCTATAGTAAAACAGATAACGCCAGTGAGTACTCACTTGGTTGGTATTTCTCCCACATCTTCCTCTTCTTCTTGGTGCCCATCCAGAGATCGGCTGCACGAAGGCCTTCCACCTTCTTGCCGAAAGTCACGAGGACTCTGCGCTTAAGGTAGAAGCCACGATCGTTCTTCCATGCCGTCCAAGCGCGCTTGAAGACGTCGACGATGTTCTTGTCCTCCATCGCCTCTCGCAGCTGCATCTTGTTGATGACGTGCGTCTCGCTGATCACTTGATACAATACCTCCAGACGCTGTTTGAGCGTGGGGTAGAAGTCTATGGCATCGTCTGGCCATTCTAGGCGCATCCGGTCCCGCCCCAAGGCGAAATGAACCTACGACGGACGGGTGGATAGGAAAAGAAAATAGGAATGGTGACTCCGAATGTTGAGCTGAATTCAGAGGTTAAAAGAGAGAGGGCTGTGGCTACCACTGCGTCACATGCCACCCACACCATCACCAGCACCATGAACAGGACTCCTGTTTAGGTAGGGGAGTGATGGGAGAGAGAGGGAAAGAGGAGGAAATATTCATAGTGGAATATGGCAGGGGGGGCACGGTGTGAGAGCTCTGTACACCCAGCGCCACATCGCGTGTTCTCCTCGTTCTGGGACCCCCAACACCCACTGTGGCCATCCCATTGCACTCTGCGTCGCAAGCCACACTAGCGACCCAACGATGCACCGTTGCCAAGGGCTCTACAGCAGGCGCGGGAGGGATGGGATAGAGAGGGGAGTGGGGAGCCTCGGAAGGCAGGGGGGTAGCGTGATGTGGACCGTGAGGGCTGCTGCTGTTCCCCACTCCGCATGCCACCCACGCCACCTCCATCACCATGAGCAGGGGCTCTGGAAGAGGGACGGTAGAAGTGGGACAGAGGGGAGAGGGAGGGATTGGAGAAAGCGAGGGTAAGATATGGGAGCATGGGCAGAGCGTGAGAGCACCGTTCCCGCCTGATCCCACTTGCATATATTCCTCGTAATGGGAGTAACAACTCCCGCTGCACTCACCCCGCTGCATGCAGGGCCGCCAACCACATGCGTGACCTGTGCATGGGCCGTGAATGGCTCTGGAGGAGGCACGGGCGGGATGGGATAGAGAGGGGAGTGGGGAGCCTCGGAAAGCAGGGGGGTAGCGTGATGTGGACCGTGAGGGCTGCTACTGTTCCCCACTCCGCATGCCACCCACGCCACCTCCATCACCATGAGCAGGGGCTCTGGAAGAGGGACGGTAAAAGTGGGACAGGGGAGAGGGACGGATTGGAGATAGCGAGCGTAAGATATGGGAGCATTGGCAGATGGTGAGATCACCCTTCCCTGCTGATCCGCCTTGCATATATTCCTCGTAACGGGAGTAACAACTTTCGCTGCTGTCACCCCGCAGCATGCAGAGCCTCATGCCACACGTGTGACCCTTGCATTGGCCGTGAAGGGCTCTGGAGGAGGCACGGGCGGGATGGGATAGAGAGGGGAGTGGGGAGCCTCGGAAGGCAGGGGGGTAGCGTGATGTGGACCGTGAGGGCTGCTGCTGTTCCCCACTCCGCATGCCACCCACGCCACCTCCATCACCATGAGCAGGGGCTCTGGAAGAGGGACGGTAGAAGTGGGACAGAGGGGAGAGGGAGGGATTGGAGAAAGCGAGGGTAAGATATGGGAGCATGGGCAGAGCGTGAGAGCACCGTTCCCCCCTGATCCGACTTGCATATATTCCTCGTAATGGGAGTAACAACTCCCGCTGCACTCACCCCGCTGCATGCAGGGCCGCCAACCACATGCGTGACCCGTGCATGGGCCGTGAAGGGCTCTGGAGGAGGCACGGGCGGGATGGGATAGAGAGGGGAGTGGGGAGCCTCGGAAAGCAGGGGGGTAGCGTGATGTGGACCGTGAGGGCTGCTACTGTTCCCCACTCCGCATGCCACCCACGCCACCTCCATCACCATGAGCAGGGGCTCTGGAAGAGGGACGGTAAACGTGGGACAGGGGAGAGGGATGGATTGGTGATAGCGAGGGTGAATAATGGGAGCAGGGGCAGAGGGTGAGAGCACCGTTCCCTCCGGAACCGCCTCGCATATATTCCTCGTAATGGGAGTAACAACTCCCGCTGCAGTCACCCCGCTGCATGCAGAGCCACATGCCACACGCGTGCCCCATGCCTTGGTTGTGAAGGGCTCTGGAGGAGGCGTATGAGGGATGGGACAGAGAGGGGAGTGGAATGCGGCGAAAAGCACGTGGGTAGCGTGGGGTGGACCGTGAGGGCTGGGAGTGCCAATCCCACTGATGCCATGCCGCTACTAATGCGCACAATGCCATCAACCCGCTGACTAGCAGAAAGAGGTGGGGGGGAAACTAGGGGCTGGGATAGAGAGAGGGCTGCAGCTAATACTCAGCCCCATTCCACCCGTTTCTAAACACAACACCAAAGTCACCTTCAGCAGATGTGGTGGGGGCATCCCACGCGATCGACGGACCGGTACATCTTCCGTTGCAGGGCTCTCTGGCGCCACGCCTGGACTGAGCCCCCCTGCAGATGGTCCGCTAGACATAGACGCCAGAGGAGGCGGCCTGGATGGAGGGGTGCAGGGAGTAGCTGGTCCTTTGGGTCCTGGCCTTGCCTTGAGTTCCGCAATTTCGCGGTCCCGCTGAGCAAGCTCACGCAAGAGCTGCTCCACAGTCCTGCCGCCAGCCATATCGGGCCGACTGGATGCGCCAGGTGTGCCCATGCTCTCTCCCCTCCCTTCCTTCATCGCCAGCCCCATTTTCGCATCTCCTCCTTGTCCCCTGCTCTCCCGTACATCCCACATGGAGCCTTCCACACCGCCGCCACATTCACCCAACGCATTCGCCCACACACCTCCCCTCACACCGTCATTGGCTGCCGCAGCGGCCGAGGGTTCGTGCTGCTTCGTTGCCCCCTCGGTTTTCACATGAACCGCGTGACTCCCCGTATGCTTTGCAGGCGAGTCCGACGCTTCCCTGCCAAGACGCGATGACCCCCAAGCCAGCGGATCTCTCTCCCCGTCCGAATCTATAGGCTCGCGTAACGCAGTGTACGGATCGTTGCGATTCTTCTGCTTCTGACCCCCCGCGGCTTTCCGTTCTCGAGCGCTTGATGTCCCACGTAGACCCATGGACTCGTAAAAATCCAACTCCCTCTTCGCTTTGGGACGCACACCCACAAGTTTAGCCTCGAATCGAGGTCTATGTCTCTTGCCATGAGGCAAGGCACGATGCACACTCTTCCCGCCTCTCTTCACCTGTCCCCTCTCCGAGGTTTGCTTTCCGTTGCCCTTCTTGGTCTTCCGCACACCCCTCCTCTTCAAAGGCCGCGCCTCCTCCTCATCCTCGCTCTCCGGCTCTTCCTCTTCCTCCTCCTCCTCAACCTCGTATACTTCCTCACTCCCGGATGAGCTGCCTGACTCACTGTCGCTGGATCCCTCCTCCGAACCCGACGAGCTCGAAACGTACTGTTTCGTCCCTTGTCGAGCTTGTCTCGCATTACGGTCGCGACCGGCCGAGTCCACAGCATTGCGTCGTTTGTACGGAATCACAGCTTCATGTCCATGCTCTTTCCCAGCAGTTACTGCTGCAGGCTCGTCCTCATCCTGATCGATACCGCCACCACCTCGCTGGTCTGCTAGCCCTGCAGCGAGAGGGATATGAGAGAGAAAATGTCAGTTTCACGTCACTCACGACATAGTTGCTGGTGCAACAGGTAACCATATACAAGGAGGGTGGCAGCGTAGGCTATGCAACCTCAAACTCAACGACAGTTGTAGCCAGGAACCGCCAACCTTCTATAACGGGCCTGTGCAGCGCATGCTCGTCGCCACCAGCCACGTCCTGCGAGAGCCTGCCCGAGGGACTGCCCTTGGCCGCCGCCGCCGCCTTCGCGTTGTTGCGCTTTCCACCACCACGCCCTTCAAGGTCGCCATGCTCCTGCTCGTCGCCACCAGCCACGTCCTGCGAGAGCCTGCCCGAGGGACTGCCCTTGGCCGCCGCCGCCGCCTTCGCGTTGTTGCGCTTTCCACCACCACGCCCTTCAAGGTCGCCGTGCTCCTGCTCGTCGCCACCAGCCACGTCCTGCGAGAGCCTGCCCGAGGGACTGCCCTTGGCCGCCGCCGCCGCCTTCGCGTTGTTGCGCTTTCCACCACCACGCCCTTCAAGGTCGCCGTGCTCCTGCTCGTCGCCACCAGCCACGTCCTGCGAGAGCCTGCCCGAGGGACTGCCCTTGGCCGCCGCCGCCGCCTTCGCGTTGTTGCGCTTTCCACCACCACGCCCTTCAAGGTCGCCATGCTCCTGCTCGTCGCCACCAGCCACGTCCTGCGAGAGCCTGCCCGAGGGACTGCCCTTGGCCGCCGCCGCCGCCTTCGCGTTGTTGCGCTTTCCACCACCACGCCCGTCAAGGTTGCCATGATCCTGCTCGTCGCTACCAGCCACGTCCTGCGAGAGCCTGCCCGAGCGACTGCCCTTGGCCGTCGCCGCCGCCTTCGCGTTGTTGCGCTTTCCACCACCACGCCCTTCAAGGTCGCCATGCTCCTGCTCGTCGCCACGCGCCAATGACATTCCTAGGCGGCCAGATGAACTGCCAGGATCCTCCGCAGCCTTCCCGCTACGGTCATAACATCTACCGCGTTGTCCTGCGCGCATGCCTGCTGACGGAGCTGCGAGGGCGGACATCACAGGAACATTAGCAGTCCAGTGCGCGCTAACCTTATTCGCACGAAGTGGCATCAGTATGATCAGACAATGCAGGGAGTAACTTGCTATTTAGAAACCGGCCATATTACACAAACACGCACCTTCTTTGACGGGTCCGCCCTCCTCGACCTCCTCGTCGCCTTCAGACGCAGCATGTGAAGTAGTGCCTCTCTGTCGTTGACGGCGCTTACGCCCCCTTCGGTTGTCACGCTTGTCTGCTGACAATTTTACGGGGGAGCACAATCGGAGCGACAGTAACGGGAACAAGTCAAACACCACGGCAAACCGCACTTACTGGATCGGTCGGAGGTAATTAATCATGCAAGTATACCTTTCAGCAGATGGTACCAAAGACACGTACCTTTCTGGCCGCTGTTGGGGCCGATGTCATCTAAGCGCCTCACGCGCCTCTCCCTTGGTTTCGGAGGGGAGGACACGCCCTTGTTAGCGTATGGCTCAACATCGCCGTCGCTATTCGATTCGTCACCAGATGAAGAGTCCCGTCCTGGCTCAACCTCATCTCGCGCCGACGACGCATTGTACTTGCGGTACTCGTTAACGATCTCGGCCGTTTTATCAGCTGTAACTAACTCCGTAAATCTTTTTTCCTCCGGCAATTTCGACGAGTCTGCCAGAACGATCGCCCCATCGGGTCCCTTAATCGTCTGACTATCCATTGCAATGTCTAGGTTTCCATTCACGCAGTAGTCTGAGGTGTGGGTTAGTTATGACGTAGCAACCTGACAGCTACGCTTCGCGCACTAAGAAATGGTTGAGCATAGAAGGGACGAGGATCAGACAGGGGCCTGGAGCAGATGACCGTCCCACAAGCAGGCACGCAAGAGGAGCACGGAGGTGACGAGGGTTTGAGTGTTTCCTGCACTGTTCCACCTTGCGACATCCAGGTCCCTCGTTTCCCCCAACAACCAATCTCACGGTGGCTAACCTGCATCCCAATAATTTGGCGGCTCCCCTGGGGCATGATTCGGTGGGAGCGGGCGTTTATCCGTCCATTAGCGGCAGGGATCGATACAAAATGTTGCTAGGCTTAAACGTGCACTAGTGTTTTAGGGCTCTCGAAAGATATTTATTCTGCCCGCACAGACTTCATGTGGCTAATTTTCATAGACTTCCACGCGTGCCGCACGAAGCTTGGCGCAGGCGTCACGTCAAGAGTAAAATGGCCACTCCGGAGAAACGGGGACGCACCATTGGCGCCATTCGTACAGCGATGCGACAGTCTGGTACGAAGCCGTTATGGAACACCTGCGATAAGAACGCATGCTCGGGAGTTAGTTGTGAGTGGTGGCGATTTTTTCGCAAGTCGGAGAGATCAACGTACGTGGCATTGAACTGAGGTTAATGGTATGGCGCATGGGGGGGCACATAATTACACATTGATTAGCAAGGCTGCAATACAGTGTTGATAGAACATGTAAAACATTACAACCAAAGGAATGTTGAGCTGTCCAATACGTTTTCCATACACACAAGTATGAGCACCGACAGTGCATAGCCTGACACATACTTCACATACCAGCTGTCGAATTGTTTGAGGAGAGCAGTGACCCTGTTACCTTGATTGATGTGTAAAAATGGTCTATATAAACATGGTAGCTATTGGTATGTCATTTGTGGTGCAACATTACCAGTGCCATACACAAACTCCCACCACGGGGTGTGTCTGCACTCATGTCCTGTAGGGCAGCTATAGTCCATTAATCAGTTGCTTGATGTGTTGTATGCTCTTGTTTCATGCTTGACAGGAGGTGACAAACACTTGCTGTTCGGTCACGGGAGCGATGGGGTTTGTTTTGAAGCGCTTGTTGCACGCGTTCTGTGACTTGCTTGTTGGCTTGTCACGATGGACTGGACGGTGGGACAATCAGATCCTTATAGGTCTTGCTTTACAACTTAGGCCGAATAAGTTCACCCTATGCACACACCTGCTTCCCGCCTCGTCCCCTCCTGCTCCCTGCTACCTGCCTATGCCTCATTCCCCCTTGCTACCAGCCTCATTCCCCCTCGCTACCCTGCTCATTCCCCCTTGCTACCCGCCCCATTCCCCCTTGCTACCTGCATCATTCCCCCTACTAGCCGTCTCATTCCCGATTGGGACCCTGCTCATTCCCCCTTGCTACCAGCCTCATTCCCCCTTGCTACCCAGCTCATTCCCCCTTGCTACCCGCCCCATTCCCCCTTGCTACCCGCCTCATTCCCCCTTGCTACCCTGCTCATTCCCCCATGCTACCCGCCTCAATCCCGATTGCTTCCCTGCTCATTCCCCCTTGCTACCCGCCTCATTCCCCCTTGCAACCTGCATCATTCCCCCATGCTAGCAGTCTCATTCCCGCGTGCTACCCTGCTCATTCCCCCTTGCTACCAGCCTCATTCCCCCTTGCTACCCGCCCCATTCCCCCTTGCTACCAGTCTCATTCCCCCTTACTACCCCCCCCATTCTCCCTTGATACCCGCCTCAATTCCTCCAAATATGCGCCTCATTCCCGCTAGCTTCCTATCGTCATACCCTCCTGCTCACTGCCGCCTTCCCCATTTGTCCCCCCTCTTCATCCCCATTCGCTCATCGCCTCCTTCCTCCCACACACTCGCCTCATCCCCTCCTGCTCCCCGCCTCATCCCCTCCTGCTTCCCGTCTCGTTCCCCCCATGCGCACCTCGATGATCGCACCCGTTTCCATTCCGGTCGTTTCCACCTGCTTCCCGCCTCATCCGCCCTCGTTCACCGCCTCATCCCCACTTGCTAACTGCCTCATTCCCCATTGCTCTATGCCCCATTACCCCTTGTTTCCCGTACCCTTTCCCATATGCCCACCTCCTTGTTCTCTCCCACACACCCGCATCCTCACCTCACGCTCACCGCCTCATTCCCACTTGCTATCAGCCTCATCCCCCTTCGCTCGCCCTGTCATTCTCCCATCTTATCCCCGCCTCAATCCCCCCTTTCACCCCCGCTCAATTCCCATTTGCTCCGTGCTTCACCCCCTCCCCCTCCTTCCAGTCGCGTTCAGCCAAGCTCCCCGCCCCATTACCGGCTTAGCACCGCCTCATTCCCCACCTGTAACCTCCACCATCGTCTTTCCCCGAAAAAACACAGACCACTTCCTCAAATCGCGACGGTACTGACGGCGCCACTTGAGTGGCGTACCGACAAGCTCACACGCAGGGAGGTTACGGAAACCATCCTCGACCAAAGTGTGCATCACACGCATCGCGAATACACCACAGTCGTTCCCATTGTCCTGCATTGGAATCTGAAGACACACATGGTCAACTATGGCCGTGTAATGCCCCGTCCGAAATTCACCGTTGATGAAGGAAATCGCGTTGCGATAAAGAGAGAAGCATGGGCTCGGAGCTCGTACAAACAAGGCAATTTCGCTCACCTTGACCTGCCGTAGCGGGATGCTCGCAGCCCATGCATCAGCGTCCGAATCGATGATCCACGCACAGCATCTTACGACCTCATTTCGTAAATACCTGCAACATGTAAGATGGTTCTTCAATTAGTTAGTTACCCCGATTTGAGTTACGAGAGAACAGCGGACTGCCATTTGAGAGCGAATACCTGCGCAACGGAGCGTCAACACCGTCATGGGTACCGTTTGAGTCAGCGTGCCATAGCACGCATTTCATGGGAATCATGTCGTCGGGTCTCGGGATTATCTCGATGTCGATCAAGCTCCAATGACACCTAATGCGCAGACGACGACTAGCATCAAGTAAGGCGACATTATAATTGCGAATTATTTCAGGTGCAACGGCTCTATGCGACGAGAACTTACTCGGTATTAATCGGAACTAGAACGTGTGTGAATTCAAATATTCCCAATCCGAAAGTGTAGGCGTTCTCACGCCTCGGTGTGTCCTTCCGAGCGTAGTCCCAGAAATAGGATCCACCGTAAAGCCACTTTGTGCGGTTGCGACCGTGTTCGTACTGCAGCATCCTGCGTGTGCACAGATTAACGCCATAATAAAAGCATGAGAGAACCGTGTCGTCTCTGTCTAATAAGTCTATACTCGTGATACTCACACACCGAGCCAATCAATCACGATTCCGCTGACCCATTCGCCGGGTCGTAGCGTGTTGGCGTGGTCTACGGTTATCTCGAGCCAGCCTCCGCCGTAGGGAAAGGGCATTGAGATCGGCTGGAAGGCTAGTTTACTATCTAAGGTTGGAAGAGCCATGGCCGAATGTTCCTGACTTCGAGTTGCGAGCGGCACTGGGGCTATTATGAGAGAGCAGCAACGCTTCTGAATCTGTGCTTTGGAGCCACGCTACTATGGGTCACGAGTTGCTTTGCAGGTTGTTGCCACATTCGTTAATTTTCGCTGATGGTACCCTAACCTACCTGAACCTGGAAGATTTCGCAATCGAATGGACGACATTCGCTAGTGGACCCCCAACTTGTCGGGGCTCTTTGGCAATGGTGTTTGGGTCCCCACCTGCTGACATCACAGATACATCCCCCTTAATGGGAGGAGCGCCAATCAATACATCGGAATGACGACGTGGAAAACCCTATCGGGGCTAGCGATTCCACGCGTCAGACTCTCACGGCCTTCAAGGTGGCTGTTGTGAATGTGACCTTTTTCCCCGATTTTGGCACGCGCCAACCCTAACAACGTTACGGCGCGCAGAGGTCCACCGTCTCAGTGGTCCACTCGACACATGCACGCTCCCATCTTCTGGGCGCAGTAGTGGTTGCCCGTTAGATGAAATCTACAGTGAAGGAAATCTACGGTGAAGACAGGACGAAATCCTCCAGCTGTTTAGGCTTCCCAACTGACAGCCTAAACATGTTTGTTGCACGAAGCGGCGTGATTGGTGTATTCGAGGAGGGCTGTCAGAAATGGACCCAGGAAGAATCGGAGCCAGGCCCCTGGAATTCATAGAGTTGTTCCATTGCCTGACCTCACGTTCAGTGTGGT